AGGGAGGGAGGGAGGGAGGGAGAGAGGGAGAGAGGGAGAGAGGGAGAGAGAGAGAGAGAGAGAGAGAGAGAGAGAGAGGGAGGGAGGGAGGGGGAGAGAGAGAGAGAGAGAGAGAGAGAGAGAGAGAGAGAGAGAGAGAGAGAGAGAGAGAGAGAGAGAAGAGAGAGAGAGAGAGAGAGAGAGAGAGAGGGGGAGAGGGGGGGGGGGGGAGAGGGAGAGGGAGGGGAGAGGAGAGAGAGGAGAGGAGAGAGAGAGAGAGAGAGAGAGAGAGAGAGAGAGAGAGAGAGAGAGAGGAGAGAGAGAGAGAGAGAGAGAGAGAGAGAGAGAGAGAGAGAGGGGGGGGGGGAGAGGGAGAGGGAGAGGGAGAGAGAGAGAGAGAGAGAGAGAGAGAGAGAGAGAGAGGAGAGAGAGAGAGAGAGAGAGAGAGAGAGAGAGGAGAGAGAGAGAGAGAGAGAGAGAGAGAGAAAGAGAAAGAGAAGAGAAAGAGAGAGAGAAAGAGAAAGAAAGAGAAAGAGAGAGAGAAAGAGAGAACGGCGAAATCCCGCGACAAAGGCCGCCCATAAGGCCCCGGAAGAATGGCGTGCGGGCGCCTTTGACTCGGCACAAAACACTCCTCGGCTGCCGGATGAATAATGTCGCCTTAATCAAGTCACACGATGAATCTCATTCCCCGCGGAATTATTCCCGTCACGGTCAGCGGCGGCGGAGGCGCGAATGCTGCCGCGCCGCCGCCGAGTGCCGCCGCCGGGCCCTCTGCCTGCACGGCTCGGCGGCCTCCCTCGCCTTCGCCCCCCCCCTGCCGCTGTCCCTTCCCCCGCCCCCTTGCCCCCCCAGCCACTGTCCCTTCCCCCCGCCCCCTTACCTCCGCCGCTGCCTATATTATTACCCTTCCTTTCTTCCCCCTTTCCCCAATGCCCCTGGCCATGCCTATACCCATACTCTGCCCTTGTCCATTCCTCCTGTCCATGCCCATACCATCCTTTCCCCTTCCCCTTTCCCCTGCCCCTGTTCGCACCACCCATCGCCTTCCCCCTTATCCATGGTTTCCCCTTTCCCAAGTTTATCCTTCCTTCGCTCTCTCTTTCCCCCTCCACTTCCCCCCTTCCTTTTCTCCTCCTCTACCCCCTCCTTCCCAAGTTTACTCCTCCTTCGTTCTCGCTCTTTCCCCCCTACACTCCCCCCCCTTCCTTTTCTCCTCCCCCCCTACCCATGTATCCCCTTCCTTCGTTCTCTCTTTCCCCCCCTACACTTCCCCCCTTCCTTTTCTCCTCCCCCCCCTACCCAAGTATCCCCTTCCTTCGCTCTCTCTTTCCCCCCTACACTCCCCCCCCTTCCTTTTCTCCTCCCCCCCTACCCATGTATCCCCTTCCTTCGCTCTCTCTTTCCCCCCTACACTCCCCCCCCCCTGCCTTCCCTTCCCTTCCCCAAGGAGAGCCTCCACATCCGGGCGACAATAACAGGCCATCATGCACAAGCGTCGCGCGGGAGAGAGTGTGAATGACAAGGCGGGTCGGGTCCGCGCTTGCCTTTTCTTGCATGCATTGTGCTCCTGCCTGCTTGCCCGCTTCCGCTTCCTTACTTCCTGGCTGGTTATTTTTGGCCGAGGGATTGACTGACAGATGGAGAGACAAACAGACAGACACAGCTAGATAAGAGATGTGTGTGCGTGTGTGAGTGTGTATTTATATATATGGGCATATATATAATACACACACACACACACACACACACACACACATTACATCCATACATCCATACATTATATATATATGTATATATATATGTATATATATATATATATATATATATATATATATATATATATATATATATATATATATATATATATATATATATATATATATATATATAAACACAGAAACCGCATAATACCCAAATTTTATCCCCAAAGAGAAAAAAAAGGCTTTACTAAATGCTCACTGAAATAAATACATCAAACTATCCACATGATAACACACAATCACTGTAAAAATGGAGATCAAATGAATGAGAAAAATCCCCGGTGTGTGTGTGTGTGTGTCCGCTCCGGTCACACACATACGCACACACACGCACATATGCCTGCACATCTATAAAGGTATACCAGTACAAATTCAATCTGATACACATATGCATATGTACATGTTTATATGTATATATATACATGCACATATACATACATACATACACACACATATTTACCTACACCTATCCCACGCACACACACAAACAAACACACAAACACACATTTACCTACACCTATACCCACACACACACACAAACGGAACACAAATCAGCACCCATACCTACCTACCTACCTACAAACATTTCCCCTCCCCCTTCCTCCCTCTCCCCCATCCCCCCTCCCCACACGCACACACCTCCACTCACACGCACACGCACACACACGCACACACGCCCGTTGTACAGACCCATGGAGCGTGCAGTTATTAAGGAGGCTTATCTGCGCAGGGCCGGACGAAAGAGGGGTTCAGACAAA